CAAAATTTTAAGGGGAAAGCTACTGCTTTTGCAGATGACTCTGCTTTCACTTATTGTGAAAAAAATTTGATGGAGGTTACTGCGGCTCTGAATTTTGATCTAAATTTGATAAGAAGTTGGTTTTTTTCTCATAAACTTGTAATGAGCAACAAAACTAAATATATTATATTTAATTTAACACAAGATTTTATTACTGATTGTAATTTGTATTTTCATTCACCTGGCTGTTGTAAATTTCCTATTCTTTCAAATTCTTATTATAATGATAATATTTGTGATAAATCATGTTTTAAAGTTGAAAGTGTTGTTTCATATAAATATTTGGGCATTTATATCGACAAAAGAATGAATTGGTCGGAACATTCACATTATTTGAATAATTATTTTAGGAACGTTATAAGAAATCTTTTTCAATTGAATTGGTATTGTTCTATAAATGTTTCAAAAATGGCCTATTTTGCACTTTTTAATTCGAAGCTTCAATATGGTATTGTTTGTTGGGGTGGATCTTATATTAATAAGATTTATCCTATTTGGATTGCCCAGAAGCATTGCATAAGAATTTTACTAAAAAAAAATAGATTTACACCTAGTTTTCCATTATTTAAGTATTTAAATATTCTTCCTCTTCGCCATTTATATATTTTTAAATCTTTAAAAGTTTTTTTCATGAGGTCTGGCTACTTGGTGCAGAGGTTTTATTCTAATTACAACCTTAGAGTTAATAATATGAATATGACAATTGTTCCAAGAGCTAGACTATCTCATTTTTCACATTTTTATATATTACTTGCGCCCAAATTATTTAATTTGTTGCCAGTAGATCTCAGGAGTGTTCGAATTTTATCCGTTTTTGTGAAGTCTCTTAAAAAATGGTTATTTGGTTTCGACCATAACGATATTGAATTTTTATTGAATAATAGATTAATTTGATGCATATTCCAAAATTTCTATATAGCTTTAAATTTATAAATTTTATATGTGATTTTTAATAAATTATACATGTTTGTTATATAACGTTAGTTTTGAATTGAATTAACATGAATTTTATAAATTGAATTTAGATTATATTAAATTTTAAGAATTTATTCACTATTATGTAATTTTTACTTTTATTTGTTTTTATAAATATTTGAATTTTTTGTTATTTCTTGACTTGAATTCTGCTTAGCTTTAATTGTGATCCCCACCACAAACGAATTTTTGTAATAATTTAAAATTTTTTCTGATATAATGGCCCTTCGTTACTTGCCCTTATAGTGGCAATAGTTGGGACCATCCTTATATTTTATTTTTAAGTAATTCTATATACATATTAAATTGTAACTATTTTTAGTTTTGAATTTTGTAACTTTAAAATAAGGAAAATAAATAAATAATAATAATAATAATAATAATAATAATAGTCCATAACGGCTCTTAATGATATACGCTTGAAATTTGTGATTATTTTTAATTTTTTATTAGGAAGAGTTAGGTCTTTTATTTTCATTCTATTGTGAATTGAAAATGTCAAATTTTTCTTACAAATTTTCACATTAGATCTATTGAGAGCCTTTAAATTAAATAATGAAATTCGATGAAGGTACAAATTTTAATAATTTTTGATTTAAGGATATGCAAAATAATTTAATTTATTTTTTACCAATTTAAATAACAATAAAATTTGTAAAAGCTCAGAATAACTAAAGATTTATTTAAGTATTTTTTAAATTTATTTCGCTTTTAAATTATTTTTACTCTGTTTATACTGAAATTTTACACTTTTATAAAAAAAAAGCAAAACAATTTAGAATTAAATTTAAAAATATTATTAAGAATTCGATATATTTTTTTTCCTTCAAGTACAATTCTAAATAATTTATTTGTACTATACGTAAAGCGTAACGATAAAAAAAAAAAAACAAAATTTCCTTATATAGCTGTCGTTTTATACGAGTATATATTGAATTAATTGAACAAATGAATGTCCTCGTGGGCGAATAATTTAACTAAAAAAATTAAACCAGACTGCAATATTTTACAAGAAATCATAATAAAAGACTGATTGTAAAAATTTGTGAAAATATTATAGCATATTAGGCACAATATTTAAGTGTAGACACACACATATGTACATATTCACATTTGTCAAAAGTTGACTAACCTTTTATAATTTTAATTGATTAATGACTTAAAAAATATTCATTTTTTTTTTTGTAGGTAACTATACGTAAAATAATAGAAAACATCAAACATTTTTTGTAGGTGGATTTTATACCTGATCTGCTACGCGATATTTTTACTTGACAATTGAATATTGTGCACTTGTGAATAATATTCTAAATAATTTTGTTATTGTTAATCGTATAAATAACAGAATTGAAATAAATCAAATGAATCATGTAAAACATTTAATCATTTGCAAAAAAAAAACGAGAACAGGTAAAGTTGTGTGTGTCAACTCTGTGAATGAATAATTTTAAGCGTTGCATGATTCAATAACTGCCGCATTGCCTCACACGACCATTTGCCGTGTGAAAATAATGGCCATATGATTATATTCCTTTATGCAAATTTTCAGACCTATAGTTTCAACAGTTTCTATAATATATCACGAAATTATTTGAAGTTGTATGGCAGCTACCCAAACCATCACCTAAAACACATCCAATTTAAAAAAGGTTCCGGTATAATAATAAATCTTTTGTCGAAATGTGGTACACTTAACTCAATTAGTTTTTGAGTTATGGCTGAATCGACTCAAATACGACGCTGGGACATGTACTTGCATCTATATCTCAGACCATTATTTATATACGTTACAAATGAAGTGGCAAATTTATAATAACAAATTCGGACATTTGTACTTTCGCACGGATTTAAGACGCATAAGGAATTAAATGTAATAGAAATCACACACATATTTTTTGTATCTAAAATCGAAAAAAAATAAAAGTCATAAATAACGCGCTCCCTTATATACTTTTGAAAATATTTAAGAAAAAAAAAATTAAGAGGCCTAAATTTTATCAACACAATGTATAAAAATCACGTAAAAATTAATATTATTGAATTTAATAAATTATTTTTAAGGATTAATTAATTATTAATAAATGCGTGGTTTTACCGTGGCGTACTCAATATGTGCACCTTAAATTATTTAGAAATTAATTTTTGAATATAGAAATAATAAAATTTTAACATTCATTATGATATTGCAAAATTTATACAGTAGCGTGGAATCTTTCCTAAATAAGTACTTCAACAAAACTATCCTTATAAATCTCTCGAGAGAGTCCTCTCCATATTATAAATTGGGGGAACAATTCCCCATGCGGGATCTGTTACCATACGGGAAAATAAGTTTTCTATAAATTTAAAGTTAAATAATATTAAAAGATGGACTGCAACACAAGTGTATCCCTGAGATTCAAATTGTAATAATATTGCATTAATGCAGAATTCAGCTTATAAATACCAATTGCTGAATTTTTATTGATACTATATTACAATTTCGATGTCATGGTAGATATAAGTGAAACGCATAGCACGCCTCTGAATAGTTCACAAATACATTATTTATATTTTGGTTGAAATACAGTATTTGTATTCTGGATATATTAAATTTTTTTATTGAAAATACATATAAAAAATAGAAAAATGCATTGCAATTTGAAAAACAAATATAAATAGTCTTGTTCTTTTAAAGCAAACTCTATGCAATACGCCAAATACCTGCTGAATTCTACAAATAATCTTACACAAATAACAGTAGTAATCCTACCTTACTAACACTTCCATTTTTAATGTACACTATGTACGTTATGTGTTGTATATGAAATCTTACTTTTTCAACCCGAGGGGTGTATACAGGGTTCTGTATCATTTTGTTTTTATATAGAATTTAAAATTGAATGTTAAATGGTATTCAAAATTTTTTTAGCATGATTACACATACAGAATACAATAACAAAATTAAAAAAATCAATAAATTATTCATCAACACAAAAGATAAACATCATTTTTTTTATCATAGTGGTCGAAATCGAAATCTGTCGTGGTATGTAAAGTTTTTTTATCAAATTTTTACAACTCATTTGAATTTATTTACGTTAAAAATTTTCTGCAACACCGGAACGTGACAAGATTATTTAGGTCAAATTCACTTTTTAATTGTTTTAATTTTTTTTTTTTTTTTTTTTGCATTTTTTTTTAAATTTGTAATTATTTTTAAGCTTTTTCAAATGTCTTTTTTAAATTTACGTATTAAAAACGAAAAAAAAAGAGCTTATTAAACTTAAAGAGTAAAGCAAGAACAATGCAGGCGCCATACAAACATTTTAATACTGCCAATTGCATTGCATTTCTTAAGAATATTAATTATTTCTAACCTAATGTTATGCAAAATATCTTAATATTACAAAACTACAACGAATAGCCTAATTTTATGCAATTACAAAGTACTGTGTTAGTAAAGATGAAATGAATTAAATAATTTTGAAAAAAAGTTTTGAAATCCGATCATGATTCTTGTCTTTGCTAGTATTATAATTTACAATCCACATAAAGCTTTTTTTGTTTGAGAACAATTTTTAAAGTCATCTCTTATTTTTATATATAGTAAGCTTTTTTTCTCATTCCATTTTGACATTTTAAAACAAACTAAATGTCAAAAACGTGTCAGCAGCTTTTTATAGCCATAAAATTCTGACGTAAAGCAAAAATTGTACATTTTTATTTAAAGAAAACTTTGTTAGCTATTACATACTTATATACTACACTTCATCTAGTGTCATTTTAATTTTTTTTAATAAAGAAATTTTTTTTCAAGTATTTTTATAGAATAATTGATCAGAAAACAATTTAAAAAAAATATATATATATATATTTCATAAATAGAATTTAAATACAAAAGAGAAAAGGGGAATACACACAGTAGAGAAAGAGGAACCTTTATAACTCAAAAGAAATGGTAATGGCAAAAAAAGGTCAATTTTCATTAACAAAATCTAGTTAATAATTAAAATTTGGAAAAAGCATAAAAAAATACCAATTTTAAGTTTTTAGAACTACTTCCTATGTAGTACGTATATGCAAAAATTAAGTTTCTCAATTTTATCTTTGATATCAAATATTTGGAAAATAATATATGTAATAAAAATCAAGATAAGATGATAATCATCTCGGGGAAAAATAAAAAAGAGTAGATACGAACTTAAGAACGAATATACTTTGCATGTATTCAGGTAAAATTTAATTAATTTATTCGATTAAATTAAAAATGGTATAAGCTTTATACTCTTTTTATTAGTAAGTCATATCCAATTGTTCGTTCAACTTGAAAAGTTTTCCATAAAAGAAAAAAAAATCTCGCGTTTTAAAGTTTCTTCAAGTTACCTTGGAATTTTTCAATAATATCTAGTTTTTTTTTTTATTTTTCAATTATATAACTAAGCAATCTACAAAAAAACAATAAGTAGATAATATTGATTTGTCGACCGTAAGAATTTTTAAGAATATTTAGAAACAAAAAAATTTAAAATATTTATATATCAACAATATTGGAAGTAAAAATATTGAGAACCATTTACCGTAATAGATGCTTATTACATACATATATACTAAATTATTTAAATATTTAAACTAGATAACTACTTATCTAAAAATGATTTTAGCTACAACGATACCATAATTATAGTGTATACACTTAATCCAATTGGTTAATTTGTTCTCATTTAACAAGACAACACAGAACATTTCAAAATGAACGCAATCCACCATACTACCTACTTAATAAAAAAGGAAATTCATTTGGAAAAGCAAACATTTTAAATTATCTATAACAGTAGAATATTTAAATAAAATGGATTTATTAAATACAGAAATAATCTATCGTGCAGAAGGAAATGCTAATTTGGTTGTTAATTTACCTGAACATCAAAAAATTTTAAGATTACAAAAAACATCTACAATAAAATCATCTGAAGAAAAAAATATTCATAAAAATGAATTAGATATTTATTCACGTTATGAATATATGAATTTAATTACAAAATTATTGGGATCAATATATTCATGTGAATTAGGAATAATAGTTTTAAATGAATCTGAATGTATCAGATTAAATAATTTATGTGAACCATTACGGCCTATAAATAGAATTGAAAAACAAATTGGAAATTTTGGTCTTTTAATGTCAGATGCAACATTAATTTCAGATTTAAATTTGATTCAGTATATTCAATTAAATAATATTATATTAAAAAATACATTAAGTATTGAAATAAAACCTAAACAAGGATTCATGATTCAAGATATCCAACAAGATAGAATTCCTCATTTATTTCAATTTAATGGATTAAATAAATGTCGATATTGTTGTATGCAATATTCAAAATTAAATCAATCAAAAATTAATGAAATTAGTAAATTTTGTCCAATGGCTTTATTTTCTGGTGATTTTAATAAAATGATCAAAACAATTGAAGCACTTTTACAAAATCCTCAAAATAATTTAAGAATTTTTAAAAATGGATTACAATGTTACGGAGATTATAAAGACTCGATGTCACTAAATGAATTATATAAAAATATTTTTGAATCAAATGAAGAATTTTTTAAAAAACTTATTGTTACCTGTCTTCTTCATCCATATAAAAATGAAACAAATGCAATAGAGAACAATATCGAAAGTAGTTTACCAAAAGGATGTGTTCTTCATACTCTATTAAGTTTACAATTTTTAGCGAAAGATAATATTGAGTATATGGGACAAAAACAATATGAAAAAGAAGTTTCATACAAATATTTACCAGATTTATTAAAGAAAACAACTAAAAATAATTTACTTAATAAACTGACATCAAAAGAAAAGTATATGATTGGTGCAACAGCTTTAGATTCCTCTATTATGATTACTTTCTGTGAAATAGCTAATAACCTTCCTGAAGATATTTTATTGGATTTACAAAATATCATTAAACTTGATAATCGAATATTTATAACACAAGTTAAAATTTTAGATATTGATCCCAAATCAGACAATCACTTTCAAAAATATGTTATACAAACAAATAAAGCTTATTCTGAAACTTTTTCACACTTGAGTAAAGAATCGAACAACAGTTAAAATATAATGTTAACTTAATATAAATTTTGCCTTTGAACTAAAATCAGTGAAGTGTTTCCATCGGGAATTAAAATATTAATTACATTACCAGCGAACGCAAAAATATTTTCACCTGATAAATTATGCATTGTTTTTACTGTTTGCTTATAAATAATATAATTTTTGTATTAATTAAATAAAGTACCATTGAAAAATATTAGAATTAATTTTGCTTGTTCAAATTAAATAAACAAATTAATTTGATAAATAAATTTTATAAACATATAGATATTTCTTTTCAAATTTATAATAATATATATATTATCATATTATTATTTTCAGCTCTTAATTTAAAAGTTAATGTTAGAAAATTTATAAAAAAGTAAAACTTAATAGGACAAAATTTTTAATATTTGGGAATTTTATAAAAACAAATTGCATCAAAATGAGTATTGGAAAACTATTATTAAAAATACGTCATCATGTTCAAAGCCCATTCAATTCAGCTATTTTAATAATATTAATAACATTTGGAATGATATGCAGCTCATCAGGTGACATAGCGCCGAATGAAGATTCAACAGCAGAAGGGAATCTGGTATTGAATTTTATCTTTATTTTTTTATTTTAATTATATTAAAAATAAATTCTTATCTTTTAGCATACAAAGGCAGATCTAGACATTAACAGTATTTTAAACAATAATAATAACATTAACAATAATAATTTAGAAATGCCTCATCCTGGCGACAATGAGAGTACAAAAGGTCCAGCAACAATAATAAATGATTTAGGATTTATACATGCGTTTGTTGCCTCGATATCTGTTATATTAGTAAGTGAATTAGGTGATAAAACATTTTTTATTGCTGCAATAATGGCAATGCGTCATCCAAGATTGACTGTATTTACCGGTGCAATGTCAGCATTAGCTTTAATGACAATATTATCAGCCGTTTTTGGTATGGCTGCAACAATTATACCAAGAGCATATACATATTATATATCAACAGCTTTATTTGCAATTTTCGGTTTGAAAATGTTAAAAGAAGGATATTATATGTCACCTACAGATGCTCAAGATGAATTAGAGGAAGTCCAATCTGATTTACGTAAAAGGGAAGATGAGGTAAGTGCATTTCAAATTTTTTTTTTGGAATTTATGAATTATCTTTATTAAATAAGAAAATGATTTTTATTATTTAATTTTTTTTTCTGTAATTTATTGTACCTTTTGTATATAACCGAAAAGAATTTTTTTTAAATAATTTTTGTTATTAATTGTCGTTTTTGAATTTAATGAAAAAGTATGTTTTTTTTCTTTTTTTTTTTTTGCTGCATAAATATTTCCACTTTGTTCAAATTTTTTAATTTAATTATGAATAAAGAAAATTTATAATATTTAAGCTTTGTGACAAAATATATTTTTTATCTTTTTTTCTTTAATAGCAGCTTCACTGAAGTTGGTTGCATGTTTCATTTCAAGCTTTTTGATTTTAGTTATTTTACGCATAAAATGGTTGGTTTTTTTTTAGAAAAAAATAAGAAACGAAAAAATTTAAAGAGTTTATCTTATAAATAAATCACTGATAAGGCTTTTATTTCACATATTCACATAAAAACTTAAGTAAACATAAATATATATAAATAGTTATTAAGTAAATTTTATAGAAGTCACGTAAACTTTTTTAATTTCATATAATATTGTATTATTATTTGAATTTAAATTTTTTCAGATGACATTTATTATTACATTGTATTTTTGATATTTTAATGTAGAACATACATTTTTTTTGTATTGTTATGTTTGGGTCTAGGAAGCTTATAGCTTTCTCAGTAAAATTTTTTTGATTATAGGGAAAAATGTTGAAAATACTAACATTTTTGGGTTCATTTGAAGTATTAATGAAATATTTAATATTAAATATACAAATTCAGTTTTTATATTTTAAAAAAAGGTTTGGAGTTTTGATTTTGTATTAATATGTTAATTACTTTCCTTTACCTTGTCAAACTATTGAAAATTTAAAGAAAATGAGTTTTGATTTTATACTGTAAATGCTTTTAATTTAATTTAAGAAAAACGAAAAGAAATGTTAATTAAAATAATTTTATCTAATTATTTTTAAGTTTTTAAGTCTCTTTCTCTTTTTCTTTACATATTTTTAATTCTCATAAAATGTTACAAACAATAATATACTGCTGGCCCTCTTCGAATTAATGAACGAGTTATTATCATGATCCGGAAAGTGCAAAATCCGGCTTTTGAAATACATACATATGTATAATTACATTATTTTTTAATAATAGAGCTACATACCTACTGGAATTTATTTATTCTTAAAAAATTGAAACTTAATATTCCTACATATTTGAATTTTTATGTACTCATCAGATTGAAATTTAATATTTTAATGTTTCCGGATTTTGTGTTTACCTGTCATATAATATGCTCCTGATCAAGATTAAAATTAAATAAAACACAAAACAAAAATAATAAATTTACAAAAAAAAAAAAAATGCTCCTACACACAACAAAGAACATTGAAAATTAATTCAACTTAATACAACAAAAACTATTCGAGAGATTTTTTTTTTCGTTTTGTTCAAAAGTATCTCATCTTTTCACAGTTAATGCGAGCTACAGCCAAAAAAAATAAAGATAAAGATGAAGATGAAGTTCCAACTTCAAGTGATGAAGAAGAACAAAATACTAAAAATAATAATATCAATAATAACAATAAAGAAAACTCAGTTGCTTCCACAAATATATCACCAATATCATCGATTGGTGAAAGAAAAACAAAATCAACATCAAATTTATTATTAAAATCAAATAATAATAATAATAATGTTAATAATAATATGAACTCATCTACATCAACTGATGAGGGTATTGATGTAATGGGCCCTTCTACTACAACATCTGTTTTAGGATTAAATAATGGTGATGTTAATGGTGGAGTTACATTAACTGATGGAGTAACTTCCACAATTAATTCTTCTAAGGTAACCACTGCTGGCGGTGAAATGGAATTAATTCAAGTTGGAGGAGCTAAGAAGAGGGTTAGACCTAATTAAAATATGTATTTTTGATGTTATATTGTTACATCATTAATTTTACACAAAAAAAAAAAAATTTTTTTTTTACTTTTATTTGTTCAAAATTAAAGAAATTTTTCTAATTTCCTATTTTTTTTTTTTCTGTATTCTTGTCTTATTCTTGTTTGTTACTTCATAAATACTTTTTTTATGTAATTTGATTTAAACTATTCTGTTTTTGTTCTTTTAATCAATTTTGATTTAATTTAACAAATTATAAATATACTAAAAATGTGGTTTGCTGCATAAAGGAACTGAAGCTTAAGTAAGGGGAATTGAATTAAGTATTCATTCATTTGTTTATTTCAACAACGTTTAAAATTTTAATAGTAAATTATATAAAATGATTTTGTAACATGTAATTGTGTAACATAATAATATGTAGATGAAGAGAAAATTGTCATTCGTTTTAATCTAAACTCAATACTTGTGCCTAAAGATGAACATTTGAGTTTTCATAAATTTTAATTCATTTATTTTTTGTTTTTTTGTAAGGTTTTGTTATATGTTTTGATGTAGTTATTAATTGAGTGGTGGATTGCATTAAAATGTAGTTAAATTCATTTAAACTGAATTAAATAAATTTAAGTTTTGCGTTCAAATGTCATTGACAAACACTATTACTTTTAAGACCCTTTAAGCTGTTAATCAAAATTATAATCGAAAATTCATTTGGAACTTATTTAAAAGGCGAAATTGTTTGACATGGAAATTTGAACGTATAAAAGAATATTTTTTTTTGTTTGGATCTTTAAACAAAGATTTTTTGTGTAGTAATTTGAAAAAAAAATGAATGAAAATCTAAAAAGCATACGTGGAAATTGATAATTTAAATTGCAAGTTTATTGAGAATGTTGATTTTGTCTAAAAATAAAAATAATATGATTTGCTAATGTACATATATACTATAGAAAATTAATTAATTTTAATTTTTAAATTCTCTATTTGTTTCTTTTATAAGTTTTGGATATGTTTTTGTTTAATTATTTCAGTTCTTAACTTAGTTTTTTACCTATTTATATTTAAGTTATTTTCTTAATACTGAAACTATTTTTTATTAAAAAAAAATTTTACAAAAACATATAATACAAATTTCTTTTATTTTAGTTGGAACGTGAATCAGCTACCACGGCTATGGTAACAGATCCAGAAAGTGGCGTAACAAGAAAAGTACCAAAACGAAGTGCTTATTATTTAGCAACACGAATATTTATGCAAGCTTTTACAATGACCTTTTTAGCTGAATGGGGTGATCGATCACAATTAACAACTATAATTTTAGGAGCTCGAGAGGTATAAATTTTTGATTTTTACTCATTTTCATTTACACATTTATTAATATTTGTTTGTTATTTTTATTTTAGGATGTCTATGGTGTTATTGTGGGCGGTGTTTTAGGACATTCACTTTGTACAGGCTTAGCAGTTATTGGAGGACGAATGATTGCCCAAAAAATTTCTGTACGAACAGTTACATTAGTTGGCGGTGTTGTTTTCCTATTATTTGCTATTAGCGCTTTATTCTTTGATCCAAACGACACGTAAAGTATTTTGATGGAATTTAAAACTTTCTTGATTTCAAATTTCGTCAAACTTTTTTGATAAATCGGGACTTAATTAAAATTAAATTGATATTGTTTTTTTTTTTACGTTACATCTCATAAAATATTATATAATTCTTTTTATTATATCTGTATAAATATTTTTTTTTTATTTTAACTATCATAAAAATTATTGATATTCTTAAAGTATAATGTTTGAAAATGAATTTTATAATTGAAATGAAAACATTCAAAAAAGATTTAAAAAAAAACAAAATGTATAATAATTTTTAGGATATTATTATTAATAAGTGCAGAAAAATTGTAATAATCAATGTAGTATTTTGTAATCAGCAAATAAAATATAACAATATAATTCCTTCACTATTGAAAATAATTATTAAAAATTCTATTATAGATCTTTTCGTAATCTGCATTTAAACATTCTAATAGAAATAAAATCCTAGAATGCCTGTGGCTTACCAGTTATTTTTTATTAAATGATGTATTATGTAAATAAAGATTTTTAAATATATATTATATATAAATATATATATATACATTTATATAAATATGTGTGTATAAATGTAAAAGAATTTATTAGAAATAATTATTGTCGTTAAGAAAAGAATTTTAAAAATGAAAATAAAGTGATAACCAGAGCATTAAAAAAATATTTTTATTTGATTATTTTATTAATTTGTTATTTAAACATTTTATTTAATTATTAAAAATAGTAAATCATAGTTATTTTTAGAAAACAGAAAGTTAACATTTGCAATGTGCTTTTTAGTCATTTTGGAGGCCTAAAATATAATGTCTATATTATACTTTTAAAGCTTATGTATCTATAGTTTTAACCGTATATTATTTTAAAAGTGGAGCAAGTTTATACTCGTATGTATAAGGACAAATTTGTATTTAGAGATACGTAAACGTTAATTATCTCACGAATCTGTATTAAAAAAAATCGTCTGAATCGTCATATGATTTCAGAGCTTGTGACATCATTTTGTTTTCTTTTCTAATCACACACGCTTTACAAAGCATATAATGCTATAATGTTTTTGTTAAAACCAAAATTCGCTATTGTGCCAGTTAAAGAATTATTATAAGCGCTTTTAAATGACTAGGGTTATTAATTTCAGCTTGCTAAAAAAAATTTATTATCTGTTTGTAATTTCATAAACAGAATTACCAATTGTTTGAGCCTATTATTTACATTTCAATTCTGTTTAAGATTAAAATGAGGGGAAAAAACTGACTAAAATTGTACTTTAATCTGTTTTAATCTTAATAATCTAATAATATTCTTTTTATCTTTATAGATTAATTAAAGCATCACGAAAATTGAAAATAAAAGGAAGTGCTTTTTATTTTGAATAAAACCAATAAAAAAATTTTTTTAAATATTGGGTACTATGCGAAATTTACTGGATCATTTGAGATAGAATAAATTTAATATATGTATGAGTATATAATTATTAGAAAATTCACAATAATTTGCAAATAAAAATGAAAATTATTTTATAAAAAAACTTAATTTTCAAATATTATTGTGTAAAATATTTATAAAATTAAAAATTGAACCTACCTTTGATATCAGGCGGTGGTCTTCCATTTATTCTTGCTATCGTTGTTCCTAGTGAAAGGCTTTCCAAATCATTTAAGCTTGTTGGAGATAATAATTTTTCAGCTAATAGTGGATTTGCAGCTATTGAATATCGATTATTTGTATTGGTACTATTATTATTATTATTTGCACTATTACTATTATTGTTATTACTACTACTACTACTATTATTGCTATTACTATTATTACTTGTATTATTATTGTTATTATTATTATTACTATTATTATTGTTATTGGAAAAATTATTATTACTTTGTCTTTGATTTTGGTGATGATGCTGCTGCTGCTGTTGTTGTTGTTGTTGAGATAAATTACTTGAATTATTACTAGCCGTTACAGATGCCGCTAATGCTAATAATGCTGCTGTATCGATTGAATTATTAATATTTAAATTATTATTAATAATTCCATTATTTGGTATTACAGCGTTATTACTATTATTATTACCATTATTATTTTCATTATCATTATCGTTATTTGTTGTTAAAAAATTTGTTGAATTTTGATTGTTACTATTATTTGTACATGAGGCAAGAAAATTATTTTGGTTTAAAGCTTGTTGTAAATTTAAATTGTTATTATTGTCCTCTTGCTAAAAAAAAAATTAAAGAATAAGAAATGATTAATTAACAAAATTAATAAATATGAAAATAATATTAAAAGAATGTTAAAAGATAAAAATATAATTACCTTTACTTCAACAGTAAAGTCTGATAAAAAACTGTCCAATTCAAATGAACTTTCTGCTAATTGCCTAAAAAGTTCATCTGAATCTGATGTATTTATTGGTTCTAAAGAATTTATATCACAAGAGTTATTTCCTATTTCATTATTATTTTGATTTGCATTATTTGTATTATTATTAGCGGCTTCCTGAAATTTAAGAATAAAAAAATTATATTGTTGTCGATATTGATTGCAGTCTCTAAAATTTTACCGCAAATTTATTCTAACACATTCAATTTTAAAAAAATTTTTAATTATAATGCATGATATTAAATATTTCTAAAAATGAAAAAGCGTTTTCTTGGTTTTTTACTCAAATATAACTTTTAAATTGGTATATTAAAGAGCGTTACTTCAAAACTGTAATAACATTGTATTGAAACACAGTTGAGCGATTAAAATTTACAAGCTGAATTGCGTATTAATATTGTATTACTACAATTTTGAAGTAAGGCAGATTTGAATAATAAATCTGTCAAAAATGTGAATTATTTTACATGTTTATAATGAATTTTAACAAAATATAATGAAAAACGAATAAATAAATAAAAATAAACAAATTTAAAATATAAATTTCTGAAAATTAATTTACCTGCAAGCACGTAGAGATATCAACCATTCGTCCATCATTATCAGGGCACCATAGCAATGCATCATCAATAAATGGCATTGCCGATATGGCAGAGCCACTCCTTATACCCGTCGCCAATGCCAGTTTATCTTTTATTTCACCGAATAAAAAAATTTTGGATTCTCTTTTTTTAGTCCTTTATAAAATTTATTTTAATAGAAGTACTTAAAAAAGTACTTCTTTTAAACAAGAAGTCAAAATTACTTAGTTTAATTATTTTTATAATTACAAGTATTTATATTTTTTTTTTCTAGTTTCAAATTAAAAAAATTTCCAGTCTTTTATGTTAAATTTTGGAATTATTTTCAAGTTTATTATTTTTCAATTAATTTTAAATATAATTTATTAATTATGTTGTATATTAAAGGCACTGCTTACATTTTTTTCTTTTCATTAAATATATTTTTTATTTATTATATTCCAAAAACTGAATAAAACGCCTATATTCTTTTGGCTAAAAAGTTCTTGTAAATATTAAAATTGTATAAATGTTTAAAGGACGTATACGTTTAATATGATAGGTACAAAATTTAAACATTTTTTGTTTTTTTAAATATTAATAATAAATTAAAAATTATTATTAAAATATTTTAATTTGGCAGCTTGATAATGAACACATTATTGATAATAATTTTTGTATTTAAACAGTCTGAAAGAAAACAAAAAAGAATAATTAAAATAAGATTCAAAAAATTTTTAAATTGGATTTTTTTAAAAATGTCAATAATATAACAGTAATAATATTGAAACCATGTATGAAAGAGCTAAACGGTTATGTATCGCATACAAGCACCTAAAGTTGAAAACAGAACAGAAGCGATTTTTCTCGTCGAAATGTCAAACTTCATTTAGAATATACATACATAAATAGAATTGCCCAAAATAAAACGGAATTTATAGCCGAAATAAAATAGCCGAAAATCCCATTTTACCGTTGGCGGTTGTTTAACATCAACTGTTATGTATGTGTGACATTATATGCAAAATACTATATAAGTTAATTTGCCGCTCAACTGTTCCCCAAATCGTGACGTTTACTGCTTTTACGTTATATGAATGTCTAGCGTCATCTCGACACACAGCTATTAAAAGTATACCGCTAAATATACCATGATGATGTTATGTTAGATCTAATTTTTGTTGACGCTCGGCTTTGATATTTTGCGTAAAAATACCTACTTATATGAATTTTTGAGTCGTCACAACACAGGCGAATTGTGATTTTAATCAACTCATAAAAAATAATATGACATGAATTCAATTAGAATTAGTTATTATGTATATTTGGCAATGCTAAATTCAACAATTTTCAACAGCCGCATTGTCATTTAAATATCAACAATTGTTTACAATTTTTCATATACAAAATAGAAGTCAGCCAAAGTCAATTTAATTTATTATTTTTGCTATTTAAATCTATTATATTTTTTGCATGCGTATTCATTTTATAAATTATTAAATAATATGTAGAAATTAGTGAAGTGATGAAGTTTATATTAATATACATATTATGTACATTCATGACAGTTAATTGAATTATTCAATATTTTAACATTCTGTTAAAAATGAGTGAAAATCATCCATCAACTTCTAAGAACATACAAAGCGAAGATGAAAACTCAGATATTGAAATTCCACCGACATTGGACATAACAAGTGAAGATTTTAATCCTGAGGAGGCTTTATATTCTAATATTTTGAAACCTAAAAAAATTTCTTTCAAACAATATAGTAATGTTGCACAATTTGAGGTATGTATGTAATAAATATTAAATAGCATGTCAAAATAATATTTAAATTCGAGTAAAAATTCTCCAATGTCAAAAAACATATTGCAAATAAGCTTTTATTTTATTAAAGCTTTTTTCATTTATCGTTTTATTACAGTCAGCTTTGACAAGAGTAGGAATTTTGGAAGTAGGAAAAAAACAAAAACCAACGAAACAAAATGAAACGAAACAAGGTGAATCTAGTGTATCAGAGACACAAACCAAATCTAAAAATAGTGGTGCAGAGACATCTATGCGGCGTTTTGAAGAACATCAAAGTAAGTAAAATGAAATTAGAATGATTTTAAAAAATAGCAGTATTGATGCACGCTGTTGAGACATTCGAAACTTTTAATTCTAAAAGCGAAGCTTGAATAAATTTTTGTTTTATTTTAGAATTTACTCTTAATTTCAAATATTTAGTTATAATATTTTAAAAAAATTTTAATTTTAGTGCCCATCACTGGTAGAAAACTGCAAACGAGACATCAAAGAAATTTAATAAAAAAAATGGAAGATTATAAGAGTGGTCCTTTCAGCATTTTATATGATTCATGGAAATCTCAGAAGAAAATTATAGTTTATGTTAGGAAACAGCATGGTGTACGTGGTTATATATTGGGTTATTTACTCGGTTTTGATAAACACATAAATTTATTATTACAAAATTGTTATGAAATATGGAAACGTAGAAAATTTGATTTTAGTTCAAATAATGCAACATTAGGTACACCAACGAATTGTTCAAAAAGATTAAAAAAATTAGGTATTAAAATACCAGAGAATGAAATAAAAAGTTTAAATAGAAAGTATGTTGTGGTAAAAAGAAAAATTGATCAAATTCTTGTACGTGGTGAACAAATTTGTCTTATTAGATTTGCTAATGCTAACGATGAGGAAAAATTAAATAAATGTATTTTATGAAATTTGCTCTGCTTTTTTTAATTATTACGAAAAAATACAATACATTGAAAAGTTATGATGTGCGGAATTTGTTTTCAATTTGAATTGGTTGTCATTAAAATGACGTGGAATGGTTCGTTTAAAATTTGTGACTTTTCAGTACTGTAGACGAAAATTTCTAATTTTTTATAAGAAATAGCAAGAAATATTTTATTTGTTTCAGAAAAAACCTGTTTAATGATATTGCAAGACATTAATGGCCAAGTAAATATCAATAAGAAGATGAAAACTTCTAAAAAAAAGTAATTTTCTAAAATTATTTCTAATTTCAAAAGAAAGGAAGTAATATAAACTTAGGAGAGTTCTAATATTCAAACGCCACTAGTATTGATCAAAAATTTAGTTCAACTTAATTCAGGAATTTAACAAAATCACACCGGATCCAACTCTGGGTTCAATAATTTTGTACGGAAACTGAACGTTATATGAAGGTATGTACAAATTTAAGTTCAACTTAGCACAGAATTTTAGCAATATCGCATTGGACCCTGCTCTAGACCCTGGGTCCAATAGTTTTGTATGGGAGTTGACATAATGTCTAGGTACGTGCATAATTATGTTTCTATTACACTGCCCCAATAAATATGCAATTTTTTCGAACTTGAGTTGTTTTCCGAAAATTAAAAGCCGTTTAGAGTTTAAAGTGTTGTGAATTAAATATTCTTCTTTGTACATTTACGGTACAAATTTAAATAATTAAAATTGAAAATATTGACAGAACAGTAGAATTAAATTTTCGCTTATTTTATAGTAAAAATACCAAAAAAATACGACAAGTTATTTAAACTGTTTTGAAAAATCAAATTTTCCTTTTGAATTACCAAATTTTTTGCTTTCAAAATCCTTATATTATAATCCTACCTGCTTGAACAATAATTTTTAAAAATTTAAAAATTTCACTAAAAATTAGATAAAATTTTTTTTACAAGCCCATATTTTTTTTTTGTTTTTAAAGTTCACAACAACTTAGGTTAAAAGCAAAAGCATTGTTAAAACAAAAACCGCCTGATATAAAATGAAATTTTTTCTATTTTGCCATTTTCTAACGTTCAAAATACAAAAGAAAAGAAAAAATATGAGTAACTCCTTTTATTTTTCTTATTCCTCTCTTTTTTCCTTTTCTAATACAAAACAACGAAAATCTTCATTGGATCGAAAATTTTTTTTTTAGTATCTTTATAAAAACCAATGTTAGAAAATTGTTCTTTGAGTTTTTCATTTTGAATTTTTTTTTTTTTTTTTTGGTTTCGGTTGTGTGGTTTGATAATGAAAACAAAAATAAATTGCATTGCAAAATTTTCGAGTTCAATGACATTTCAATAAGATAAAACGTTAGATGGTCCGGATTTTCTTGTTATTATTTCTATTATATACACACATACACACGTACATTATTTATGTACGTACGTACCATTATAGTGTAAAGAAGATATTATTATAAAACAAAAAGTGATCGAACTTGTAATAAGTGTAAATATATTTGTATGTATAAATATGTAGGTATATTACTCCACATGTATAACAACTCGAATGCATGAGATTTGCTATTGTTAAAATTTTTTCTTACTTTCTGAAGTTTTATTTAACATAGCGTGCATAGAAAGTGTAAGTATAATCAAAATCTTTAATTGGAAATAAAAAAAATTAGAAGAAAAACAAGAAAAAATTATTAAAGTTGGAATTTTTTTATTAAAAAAAAAGATCAACATAATCTTGAAATTTATTTAAAGTTGGTAGAAATGTTGTCAGGCCAAAATATACACAAATGATGAATGATTCTGGGAATTTAATTTGAACATTTTTTTTTTTTTTTCAAATTAAATTGAATGCTGTTGAGTTGCTGGAATTTAATCTATTTGTTTTGAAATTTTCAGGTCATCTAAGTATTTATATGTATTAGATTTAATTAATTGGGCAGTTTTAGAATTTGTTACATAAAAAATTATAGTTAAACATGAAATATATAGCTATATATAATAATACATAGCTATATACAATAAACAGCATTAATTATTTTGTTATTGTAAGTTACTTCTACTTGAGAGCATTTTGTAATTGTAAGATGTTTACATATTAATTAATTAAGAGTTTTATTTTCTATTCTATGATTTTGACAAAAAAAAAGTTTTTTATTCTATTAAAAGCACACGCTGAATTTTGAACAGTGGTACAAAGCACTATGGCGTATACACTAAGATTCTTTTAGTATTAGAAACCTAAGCATTTGGTATTTATGTGAATATCGTAACATACTATAAACTAGATTTAATTTGTATTTAAATTTTCTAATTTTACTCTGAAAATCATATTTCTCTTATATCTTGTTGATTTTTAGCCATAATGAGAAAAACAAACCTGAATACGAAGCATTTGTATGTAGATTATTTTCAAAATTATTTGGAAAATTACAATAAAGATCAAGATGAAAAATTAAAAACTTAACTTTCTCCAAAATATGTACGTTAGGTACCTACTTCTTATTATCAGTTTTTTTTGCTTTTGAAGTTGTTCATAGAAGATGCAACCAAATCAAAATCTGGCCTTTCACATTAAAATAGAGAAAATTAAATTTACACATTTTCTTTTTTTAAAAAAATTTTAAAAACAATGAAAACTTAAAACAATTTGAATGAATAAGAAACTTAAAAAAAATTAGAAAATATATTAGTCTGGATTTAATTGTAGCTGAAAATTTTCTAAAATTATTGAGACGAATTCAGTGTTATTTGAAACAGAATTGATAATTCTAGAATTTGTACTACTACAACTACTATTTAAATTATGTGAAAATTTAGACTACGATTTATGATTTGAATTTTCCTATTTGGAATGAAGATTTCACAATATATATAGCTAGTCTTAATAGATTGATTTCCAAATTTTGAACTCTATTTAATAATAATTAATATCACTTGTACTACTTATGAATAAATTACACTGTATAGTTGATTATTGCTGATCAATATGATAATAGTTTTGATTTTGAAATTAAGTTGACACAACATTCATTCGGATTGTAAGTTGCATGCATATATTTTTGAATAACAGAGATTATACTTTCATATCAAAGCCATTCAACTCAATCATAATGCTCTCAGAAGACTAAAAAGGAATTTGCCTTTTGATTTAGCGCGAAATGCGTTTCACCAAATCGGGGAGCGTTGAATCTCTTTCAATTTATATTAAAGAAAATTTGATGGTTAGTCTAAGGAGACTAGTATCTGAATATAAGGAGGAAGTTTTGGTGGTGAAACACATAACTAACTATGGGCTGCCAGAGAATGGCATATTAGTAGCATTCATGTTTTCCTATTTTCTTCGATGAAAAAAAAATAAAATCATAATGCTCAAAATCCTTAAAGTACAATTTTCTCTTGCGTTTCCGAATAGAAATGTTTATATACATGAAAAAATCAAAGATTACAATGATTACATTACTTACGCAGTAATTACTTAATCTTAGATGTATACAAAGAGATGAACACGTTGTTATTCAATAAATCTTTATATTCGCTATATTCCTATTTTATATTTCAAAGATAATAACGCACTTAAACCGTTATACGTTTAACTTTTAATATTATTGCATTCTCAATTCCATTTTCAATATGAGCGGTGCTCAGAAATAAAAAAAAAATAATATTATTACAGCATAATAAATTTTATTTGCAATTAAATTTTGAAAAAAAAAAAAATGCCATAATAATAATTACGATATCGGTAAGAAATTCAAAAAAAAAAAAAACAAAAAACAACAAAAATTTCTATTGTAATTCAATTAAAATGATAGTGAAAGTATTAAAAAAAAAGAAACGTAAAAAAAAATGAAACTTCCGACTTTGCTGGCAAAATATTTTAAACTGCAAATGTGCATTTACCATTTTTTTTTTTTAATTTTCTTATGGTTTTTTTCTTTTGTTTTTTGTTTCTGTTATTAGTTTTAAATAACATTGAACTTCGCTGTTTTATTATTCATCTAGACTTTTTTTTCTGTATATCTAATTTTATTTCCCTCTCTTCTCCCTCAGCCCCCCCCCCCCCACCCTTTTTTTCTTCTCTTGGTGTTTTTCCATTTCTTATATATGTACCTATACAATCTTGATCGAATCTAACAATCTTTTCGCTATCTTTACAATTATATTTTTAAATTTATCAAATTTTAGTAATCGTGTAACGTAGAAATTTTTCCTCTATTTTTTTTTTTTATTTTTTGTTAAATAAAATTACAAAATCATGCATTGAACATTAGCTTTATGCTTATAGCTTTATATTTAGATAGCTTACTATATAAGTATATGCAGAATTACGATATAACAGTGATTTTAAAATGTTACAATTATTTAATAATTTAAAATTCATGGTCAATATTATGTAAATTCTTTGCTTTATTTTAAAGAAAGATGAAGGAGCTACTAGCAATATTAAGTCAAATATGTATAGGATCTTACACATCTAAGTGCAGGTGATATAATGGTATATATAAGAATACCATTATATAGATCCCCATATATCGTAATCCCCATATATCGTATCGTAAAGAAAATGTTCGAATGAAAAATTCGGATGATTTACAGTTCAACATGTTCTGCAGAGTAACAGGAGCTTAAAGTTAATTTCGGTTGGTTTTTTACAACTACATTCCTGTATCAGATAGGCACATTACTAAATATGATTTGGAAGTTTTAGAAAAACTTTTTAGGGTTTTCTTATATAAACAACTTCATTAGTTATAATTCGAAAAATATGAAATTTTAACTTTTCATTTCTAAAAAACATTTTTTATTTGTTCATTTTTAGTTGACCTTAAATTACAGCTTTCTCTAATTTCGCTACAACTGGTAGCCTTATTAATTTAGGTTTAATTTGCCATCTTCCTAGCTCTTATGGCTTAGGAGTTATAAAAAAAAATGAAGTAGCGCAATTGTTTTTTATAACTTCTTTCAATTTTCAGGTCTTTCAGAGTTTATTTTGAATCGAATTTTGTGAAAATGCAAGCGTCTTTCAGGCGAAGGTGAATTCTATTGATATAAAAGAAGCTCTTATAAGAGCATTGAATTAATTTTTAGTATCCTTTGGGGGGCAGTGTGGGACTGTCTTGAAAGGCTTAACGAATTGGGTAAATTCAACCGGGATACATTGAGCTAAGTGCTTGGACAAACGCCCGACGCATTGGCGAGGAAAGCGGTAGGTGGAGTAAGGAGCGCTGGAGTTATTTTCCGGGGCTTCCCAAGGCCAGAAAATTTTTGGGAGACTATGACTAGAGACGAAATTTAGGAAGATCATAGGGTTGGGCAGGAACTCGAATTCATCATGGAAGTACGTCCCGAGAGGATGTTGTATGGGCCTGTCGCAGTATAAACTGTCTCTTTCATTCAATTTAAAAGATCCTTATCATATTGTCTCTTTCATTTATAATATTAATTTAATTTCAGTATAACAAGTTTGAATTTATAATCTACTCGTAGCTAGTTAAAAAGAAATTTTTTAGAAAAAATATTTAAAATTTTTAAATAATAAATTTTATTTTTTAATCACTTATCGATTTTTTTCATTAAGTGTTTTCATATTATTGGAGAAAACTGCTTTAATTATTTTAATACTATTTTTGATAAAAGGAAATTGAATGAATGTTATAAAAATAATTTAAATGCAACTGGTATGCAATGTAATGCAATTTTTTTTTTTGTACTTTTATGCAACATAAGAAAAATGATATACGAGAAACAAGTTTTCAATAATGCGCTAACATTAATGTTTTTGCGATAGTAAACTACTGGTGAGCGTAATACAATACAATCTATCTAATTTTCCTTTCTTGTACAATTTTAATTTTTTCTCATTTTTTTTTAAATAATAAACTAGTGAAAATTAAAATTATTTTATATTGTATAGTTGAATGTTATCATGATAGCTCACCAAAATAGAAATTTAAATTTAAATATATGTGTACTAATATGTGTGCATGTTATTAATGAATGAATCTGTGTGTTTGTACAAACGTGGAAGTACTCTAAGTACTATTATATTGTGTATGCAAGTATTTTGTTACATAAAGTGTAATTCATACACAGGTGCTAAGAAAGTAATTGTAAGTTTTTTTTATTATTACTATTATTATTAACATTTTAACTCTCAACAATTTATTTATTTTTTTTTCCTCTTTCTTTCATTTTCTAGTTTGAATTCAATTTTTTTAATTATTATTAGATAGTTCGTATATCGATGGCAATGACTTTTATAGATAAATTTTTTTTTTTATTATTTTTCAAATTTTCTATAAAAAATAATTTTTTTTTAAAAATTACGTAAGTATATTGCAATTTTTTAAATAAATTTTCTTTTTTTTTTTCAATATTAGTGTACAAGTACTCAAAATTTAAAATTATTAACAAAATTATGGTATTTGCACGACAGTTATTTGAGTTATATTGAAGAAATGCCACAGGAAAGTTTGCATTACAAAGTAAGTTTCATATTAACTTCGGGTAAAGAATTTTTAGTTGATGGAAAAAATTCGAAGGAAAGAAATAACAGAAGGGGCAGCGTAGGACTCTATATTGAGGCCAGATATTTGCAAAATAATGTGTGGGTGATATAGTAGCTCTAACGTTACCTATAACGGAAATAAAGTAAGAAGAAATCAGGTTGAAAGAGGTAATATGAAGAGTATACATGTAAATGAATGATCACTGATTGGAGCTGATGGTATAGTCTGAATATGTTGAAATATGAATGCATAAAGAGATAGCAGTCGAAAATCAACTAGGCAGAATAACGCAAATACGCTTGACTAATTAAAACCGATGGCTTGCTGAGTTTGTTGCCTCATGAGTGTATAAAGACACATCAACTAAACAGAACATTGCGAAAACGTTTTGTCAACATGCGTGGTTCTTCAGGAATGAGCCGCGAAGAACACGACCTGCGTATTACTGAGGAAAATGATCAAGAAGCAGCCATGAGGGAAATGATCAAGAAGAGAAGACCGTATTACTGTTCGAAAACCATTCGAACAAAGAAAGCAGTAAAATTTAGAATCAAGCTAAATTTCAATTTGAGATTTGCTTTTGGTAGCAATCAATAATGCTGTATATGAAACATAGATATGGGCTGATGCTCTTCTTGATTATTCTGCAAGAAATTATTAAAATTTGTACAAGGCAGAAAAGTTTTACAGAAGCAGCAGCCGAGTTAAGAATATAGACCGCGCGGATATGGAAACGCTTTAATCAAATATAAAACAATAGTCACAGAAAAAGAACCCAAATACGACATTTGTATTGAGAATTTGATGAGTTTAACTATACCATGTTTATTGTAACATGGGTATTTTCGAACTCATCTAAATAAAATGGGAAAATTGAGGATACCTCAATTATAGGCTTTGTCGTGAATTAGTATTCGAGTGGAGTATATGAGAAGCGAAAGAGTAAGATTTGGAAGGAGAACGATGGTCCATAGTCACACTCATTATATAGATTATTGTGAACGTAATATCACTGAACGAGGATATATAGAATTTCATAACGAAATATATAAAGGCAAAGTTATACAGCGGCTGGAAATTAAAATATTAAGACGATCCAAAGACAAAATTTGCAAATGATAAATAAGTCAGCACGGTATACAACCTGATGTAATGTGAACTTCAATATTTAATTGATTAATAAATTTTAACATTTAAATCAACACTTACCTCAAAGAATATTTAAAATTTGAATGCGTTGTATTTGAATTGAATAAGTTGTTCCTTTCCAAATTCGTATATTAGCTTTGTTTCACTTTAAGGAAATAAAATTTTTAAATTTGATGTCCTTTTGTGCAAAATATTTCAAGAATATATTTATATGCCTGTTGTCCTTTTCGGAATTAAATTTTCCTTTTATTTTTCGGAATTAATTTTGACCTTTTTATATTATGAGTGTAATATTAAATTCGGTTTTTCTTTTATTGTATGTGTATTGGTAAAGAAAGCAAGATACTAAAACTTAAATCGAATTTTTTTTTATAAAAAGTTGAGGAATTTTTAAAAATTGAAAAAATTTCTATACAAAGTTTGTATTGCAGTCTTACTTATTCAAATGAGATCTGTTTTTAATTTGGTGATTTTTTTTTTATCTAAATGTACATATATAATTGTGTATATATGTATAAATTGGAGTTGTATATAAATACGTTGAAGCTGATTTTACTCTTTTGGCACAATAAGGCACTATCAAAAATAAAAATTTTAATTATTTTTTTTTTTTATTTTTATGTTGAGTGATGAGAATGATTGTCAACAAAGTTATTGTTATTTAATTGATTTTTATAATATTATTAATTATTTTTATTATTCTTATATGTTTTAATTATCGACAGTTTTGATTTTCCAATACGAAATGTGATGTCACTTATTGTCACTCTTGATTTTAAGTGAATAGATTTCTGTACAAATGTGTGGATTATTGAATACGCCTGAAAAGAATAAGAAATGAATAAGATATTAGAGAGTTTTTAACGGTAATTATATAAAAAAAAATAAAAAATTAGATTTTTAAAAATTAAAAAAAAGAAAAACGAAACAAATTGAAAAATGTTTTTGATTTATTGGCAGATGCCAATAATAATATCAAACTAATCATTGTTAAGCGCAGTCGAGGTATTGTTCTTTCAACAACCGAGTTACAATGCAAAACGACGCACAAGCGGTCACTAGACAAAGACGGCTATGCGTATGCTGAAACACTTTAGAGATTGGCCTGCCTTGGAGTAACCGGGGCAATACTTTCGACTACTGTCGTATAGTGAGGGAAGCTCGACTAACTCTTCTCTCTCTCTTGTGAATTTCTCTCTGGTAAAAGACTTTCAGCGACTTTCGGAATAACCATGTCGGATTACTTTCTACTGCGGTACAGTTTCAACCATGTCTATTTCCATTTCAACGGAAGTTGGATCGGGGCAGCTCAGTACTTTCGTCTAGATAGGGGCATATTTGCGAGCGTTGACTCATATTGTACCGAATTTCAAGCCGAAATACATGCAATACAGATCTGCCTAAGAGTCAACTTAGGAAGGGGTTATAAAAATCATAAAATTTATGCGTTCTGGTAGAGCAGGGTGGCGCGGTTGACAGACCAAGTTGGTCTGGAGCTGCCTCACTGCATTTGTGAAATTGGCATCGGTAAACATCGAAATCGAGTTACGCTTATTTGGGTGCCCGGTCACAGTCGACATGCGAGCAACAGGGTTGCCAATGAGCTGGCACTTAAGAAATTAGGAGCTAACTACGTGCAGAGATCGTCTTTCTTTTGGCTGCCTTCTTCTGCCATTTGTACTAGGCTTGCCTGCCCGCTTAGGACTGGTACTGACAAAGCAACTAACTAGCAATTGTAATATTATTGCAGTAGTAATGTCTCTATATTACAATAATATTAATATAAAATTTTTCCTTGTTAACAAACATATTAAAAATTAGGCTGAAATAATATTAATTTTATGCATATAAAATTTACCTCATAAATTGTTTTTTCTTTTTTTACAAAAATTATTTTTCTCGCTTTTATTATATATGGTGACATGTTCAACATGTTAAAATTAAAATTAATTTATTAAGATCGAATAATGATATAAAATGAATCAATTTTATGATAAATATATAGAATAACACAAATAATCAATAAATTCAGTGGAAAAGCTTATAGACATGTCTGAATATTATTAACTACCGTAAATTTAAATTAATTTTTAAAAAAATATTGAAATTATGCGAAGCAACAAAAAAAAAAATTATACATTTACTTACAATTAATTATTTTTTTTTTTTGCTTTTGCATAAAATAACGCACTATTTTTCTTTCAAATTACACTCATAAATCGTGTTTTATAATGAAGTCAAACGGGCAAAAGGCGTGAAAAAAAGCAATGTCAAAATAATAGGGTAAGTATAATGCAAATATTAGTATACGTACACTTACATTTATTTACTATTAAATTAAGTATTAATATTGTATAACAATATTTTAGAATTTAATATAATAACAAAATTTCTTGAAAAAAAATGTAGGAAAAAATTTTATTTAAAATTTTCTGTTATTATATTGAAATGTCAATAATTTATAACATATTTAATTCAAAGTCAGTGATATTATCATACTTATATCTTGACAAGTGGTAACATAAGCATGTTATTTAATAACTTTATTTTACACTATGTACAATTAAAGTATAATATTTTATACCTAAAGCATACATAAATTGTATTCAATTTATTTAATCAAAAAAATTTGGTACACTTTTTCTACCCCAACTAGAGTTGTCCTAAGCAATTGAAGTTGTACGTACTTCGTAATACTTCGTAATTAACGCTTAATAAATTTTGTGTTAGCAATTATTGACTTTCAATGTAGTTGCAACATAAGCTTTTGTATATGGAATAGGATATTGTGATTACTTCAAAATTCTCAATAGCATACCTCCATATGTTGGAGAAAATCAAATAAATATTTTTTAGTGAGGAGTTGGTCAATCAACATGTCAGTCTGTCTATCAGGTGATTTTTATGTATGATCCAACTAGCTTTTCTGCTGTATTGTTTTCTGAGCAAATGATGAATTCATCAATTTTATAGACTAGATAAGGCCCCAGAAGCTGGACCTCTATCAGTAATATGTTTTAAATTTTCGATTATATTTTACCGACTAAAGAACAAATTTCATTAAATATTTTTAATTTCAGTTATGGTGTCAAGTTTTTTTGTCGAAATCAGATTAGAAAGCCAAAAATATCACAATGGGGCCGTTTTCTCAATTTTCTATCGGTGAGTTTACTTGAATTTATTTTAATTTTTTTTATTCACTAATATTTTAAAAACAGAAAAGTAGTGAAAAATAAAACTTATTGAAATGTCTGCAGAGGGTCATTTCAAAAGCCCACCCTGTTTTAAAGCAATTTATTAAACTTTCTAATTTAAAATTTAAGGCTAGTAAGCTTTTGCTTTTATTTTGTATAAAAAAATATGTGTATAATATTTAAAGGATTTATGATTAATAAGGGATTAACGTAAGTATTCATGATATTGGTTGCTTTCTATAATTAAGGCGTGTTTTTAAATTGTTATCTTATACATTAATTATGATTAATTTTTATCTCATTTAATTTTTAATTTCATAAGGTGATTTTCGTAAATACATTTTACTGTAATAAAAATGTTTATTTTAATTTTTAATTCATTAATAAATTTTTTTAATGTTTTTATATTTCATGAATTATGGATCTCCCAAAATGGAGATCTAACGTCAATTTGATTTATTCAGTAACACAGTTTAAATTATTGAATAATTCAATGTAATGTTTGATTTATATTTTGGCAGACGTTCAAAATTACAAAAATAGTATTCGCTAGTGCTATAAAATTGTCGGAGTAAAATTTCACCGGATTCACACGACAAACTTCAAGCTGTGGCATCACAGAAATTTTGGCTTCTTATTTCTCCGAAACTGAAAGCTTTTTAAAATTTATATAAAAAACAATCGCTGAACAATTTTTTTATTAGCCATCGTAGTTCGTTATTTAAATTTTTTTGTTTCCCTCCTAGAAGTATGCAATAGTCATTTATTGCAAAATTATCATAATTTTGTTATTATGTTGTGAATAATTTAAGCACAAGAAGGCCATTGTTTTAAAGAAAATTATTTTCATTATGGTTTAAAGGAAATGTGCTTCTTTACAAAGAGTATTGTTATCATTCCTTGCGTTTAGATCAATTATGACTTAACGTAGATCTATTATTTCAATTTGATCACTAATTATTTCTTTATGAAAAGAATGTGTAGACAAATTTTTTAAATATTTTTAATGGAAAAAGTTCAGCATATAATAATTAAGAAAAATTTTTTAATCCGTATTGTATAACAGATTTATTTACTATATAAAACCAAACCTTTAATTTTATATTAATTATGAATATAATTACATAAATATTAAAATCAATTGAATTATCTGTTATACATATATATCAAAGTAATGAATATGGTGATTATTTCTTTAAATTAAATTTAATAATAATATTCAATTCCTGAACTAAATATATTGTCTATATCGTTTTTGAAACGTATAAATTTTTGCATATATTTTTAATTAATTTTTTATAACAATTTCATATTATTTAATTTTCTGTTTTTAATATTAAATAGTATGTATATATAAAAATATTATGTATTAATATTCCTGGCACGATTTTTACGATATACATACATACTTATAATATACGAGAAAATTTTAATTAGCTGCGATAATTTTTTTTTGTTTTTGTTTTTAATAATTAATTAATTTATAAGCCATGAACTTTGATTTTACAATTTTAAATGAATGACGGGTAAGGTTAAAATTTATGTCCATCAAGAATCGCGCGTCTATATACTCTTTGTCTACTGTTTAACGTAATATGCATATAGTATTTAAATTAAATTTGTTTTTTCTTAATTATAGCGTTTTAAGAATGTACACATATATACAAGTATACTTAATTTTAATTTTCATGTTTTTAATTATGAGACATTTGGATTTTTATGATGTATCATCAATTTCATCAATATACATACACAAAAAAACATAAATAATATTGTATTTTATGAAAGATATTGTATTTGAAAATGAGGCAACTAAAAAAATAACAGTTACCAAAAATGTTTTCCTGAAATATTGGAAAATAAATGCAAAAGTAAGGTAGTGGCTGATTAATATTTAATTCGGATTCGATAAAAGGAGCAGCAGTTTTAACAACTGTTTTGATATAAATTCGAAATTTAATCTTGATATTCTAGAATTCCTAGAGTTACTGAAGTACAATTTCCAAAGTCGTTTAATAGCTCAAATTTCACCCGAAAATTAAGTAATTTGTCTACTTAAAAACAGACATAGTAGTATGAGTTTTAGCTGCAACGTAATTCATTTAAAACATTCATTGGATATCATGATCAAAATATTGACATGCTCAACTACATATAACGAAATCTTTTATATTGAATGAAAAGAACTACCAAATTTATTGTAACCACCCTATACTATATCTAAATCTTTGTTTTCTTAGTTATATAATTTAAATATGTATGTGACAATCTATAAACATCAATATATGTAATTCAATATTATATGTACCTTATAAAGTATGCATGACAAAATTGTTAATATTAAGGTTGTTAATTCATTGACCCATCAAGGGTTTTCGATTTTTGTGAATCTATATTAAACACTTCCAAATTATTATACTGTTTTAGGTATAAAACCCATAATTTGAAAATAACAATTATATACCTGCAAGTGTATAACAAAATTGGCTACTTATTTATTATTGATTGTATTATATTTTAACACTTCAATCCTACACAACTACAACCTTATTATTGACATTGAATTGATTCTTAATACAATATATACTTCCGTGTTATCATATTTAATGCGATAATCACACAAAATG